CCACAGAAAGGAAGCCTCAGAAACAACCCAAGTGTCCACCGATGAATGGATAAAGAAAACTGAGTCCATGTAGGCACACACAAGAGGGAATACCAGTCACCCTTAAGAGCAAGGAAATTCTGATCAGCGCTGTGACATGATGAACCTCGAGGAGATTATGCAACTTAAAAGAGCCAGACACAAAAAGACAAACACAGCTAGCCCTCTGTGCCAGGGACTTCGACACCCATGGAGCCAAGCAACCTCGGAACAAAAATATTCCGGAAAAAAATTAAGCTGCATTTGTATTGAACACACACAGACTTGCTTCCTTGTCATTTCCTCCCAAATGATATAGGATACCTAGTAGGCATTATCAGCAGCCAGAGGTGGCTTAAAGTCTATGGTCTAAGGTCCATGCAAGGGCCCGGCCACTTTGTGTCCCAGCTGCTCCACTTCCCATCCAGCTCCCTGCTTGTGGCCTGGGAAAGCAGTCGAGGACAGCCCAAAGCCTTGGGACCCTGCACCCGTGTGGGAGACCTGGAGGAAGTTCCTGGCTTCTGGCTTCAGATCAACTCAGTTCCGGCTGTTGTGGTCGCTTGGGGAGTGAATCATCGGACAGTTCTTCCTCTCTGTCCTCCTAAAGACAGAAGAGATTTCTCTGTCTCTCCTTCTCACCCTAATCCTGTCTTTCCAATTTAAAAAAAAAAATCTTGAAAAAAAAAATAAACTTAGAGTTCATGCAAATGCTACTTCATTTTATATAAGGGGCCCAAGCACCTGCAGGGACCTTGCCACTAAATCCCTCCCTCCCCTACACCATGGCCACTGAGCACGACTGAGATGAAGTGATGGGAGAGCGCAAACTCACAAAGATGAGAAGTGGAATGGCAGTTGCCAGGAGGTGGAGAGGGGAGCACTGGCTCCTAAGTGCCGAGTTTCCTTCTAGACAGCTGAAGTGTTTTGAGGGTGGGTGGTGATGTTGGCTGCAGAATAGTCGTGCACGCAACTCCCTTAGAAACTGCTTGGATGGCCCATTTTATGTTCTGTGTGTCCCACTGAGGCTTTTTACAGAGTGTAGGTTGCTCCACCGTGGCTCAACACTGCTGAATTGCAAAGACAAGGGTAAAATGCACATGGACTGCGAGGGTGGAGAACGTCTCACTTCCTGGAGGGAGAACTCAGCAGGGAAGAAGTGACTGTGGCCTTTGTCGACACAGTGTGGCTTTTGGCTGCATGGGGCCGTTCCCACCCTGAGGCTCTGTTGGCAGAGCTGAGCAGGAGCATGCGCAGGAAAACCGCTGCCGCCAGCATCGCCTTCTCTGTTAAGCTAACTCACCTGGCAGAGACTCATTTGAACAAAGCAGACTCTAGCACAGCATCACGGCTGAGTTGCCCGGTAGTCAACCTTCTCCTTTCTATTGTCACTGCTTTGTGTCCTGTCCGAGTTATTAGACACACCACACATCAAGATATCATCCTGCCCCTCACCCCGTGTCAATGAATCAGGCTTGAGGAACATCTTAAGGATCAGGTATCGTTTTCCTACCGTCTGTGGGCATGGAGTTGTAAATTCTGGAAAATAATGAACTCCTTGAGATCCTATGGGAAAATAATATATACATGTAAATATATATGCATGTGTGTTTATGTGTATGTACACACACACACACACACACACACATATATATATAGAAAGAGAGAGAGAGATCAAGAATCAATGAAACATTTCTTTCCCTTTATTTCCATAGCTTTTTAGGAAGAAAACATTTCATGTCAGAGTAAGGTCTAGTAAAAAGCTGGAACTTTGCACATCCACAGAGTGCAGGCTGTGTTTAAGACTGCACTAAACACAGCCAGTCACAGCGGAATAGCTTTAGCTGCACAGACACATACCGATTAAATACCTAATGTAATCATGACCTCTAAGAATATACAAATGATAAACAAGAAAGCTATTGGCTATGTTTTCCATTTCTGCATACTTCTTGTAATTTATTATCTGAAAGAATGCTTTAGAGGCTATTGAAGGCCTAAATTGCTCTATGCTAATTGTCACACTGGATTATGAATTATCTCCTGGTAAGACTATGTTGATAAGACTATAAACCACTTAGCTATATATCTCCCTAGCAATTTTTAAATGAAAAAACTTAACTAATTAAGCTCATTTGAGATGTAGAGAGACAGAGAGCGCCTATCTGCTGCTTCAATCTTCATATGCCAGGAGCTGGGAACCCAAGTACTCGAGTTCGCACCTGCTCCCTCCCAGGGTGTACACGCAGGAGGTTTACGGTCCGTGCAAGGCTCCAATTTCCTATATCCCGGGAAACTGGATTGAAAGCAGCTCTGGGACCTGAGTGAGATTTGGACTGCAGGTATCTCAGCTGATACACCAAGTGCTTGTCACTCCCTGCTCCCTCCAGTCCAGCCCATGTGGAAGCCAGTAACAGTCACAGAATGACTGGATGGTGGGCTTGAAGAGGCGGACAGGGGAGGGAGAGGTTGGAACCTGGCTGGTTAATTGAGTCAGATTTGAGAAAGCCTGATCTATTCAGACAGGTCCAGTGCCAACAAGCTATCCATCTGCTGCAGCTTGAAGAGCCCCTTCAAAAACACATTTGGACATTCAACTCCAAAGCCTCACATTAATGGAGGTGGAAGGTCATTGGGAGGGGACCGGGATCAGATGAAATCATGACACTGGGGCCTCTGAGATGGAATTCCTGGCTTTCGGGGAGGAGGAAGGTGAGAGGAGAGTGTTCTGCCTTGCCTTGAGGTCCTGCACAGCCTTGCCAGCACGAGGGCCTCGCCAGCGGCTGAACAGCCACTGCATCCATGCCAGCAGACTTCTCAGTCTCCAAGACCGTGAGCCAAACAAACCACCTTTCCATAACCCAGCCTGCGGTGCTCGGTTACAGCAACAGCAAGGGGACCAAGCCTGTGTCCTTTGCATAAAAGATCACAGAGGAAAAACAGAGAGAGGACCTGAGTTCACCTCCCAGCTTCCAGCGGGGTCTTGAACGCTCTGGGAAGGAGGACCAACATCGCGTGGCGCTCCCAGAAAGCACTCGGTGTGGGCAGCAGGTTGTCTTCCCTGCTGCTCTCCCAAGCACAGCGACCACCCATCCTAGATGGGGCAGGTTTCACCGATGTGACATCATCTTATCAACTTCAGAACACCCACGTGAGATAGATGTCATCATTTCCATTTTCCCGGCGAGGAAACTGGGCAAATAATCTGCCAAAGCCCATCTGGCTGGAGAGCCGAGGGTTAAAGCTGTGTGATTTCTGTCGCCTACCTACATGAGCCCTTGACCTTGGATGCCACTGTGCTAGGTGGCTTGAAGCAGCTGGCAAGTACCTGAGAGGGTTAGCTGCTGCATCTTCCCTTTCTAAGATGTCTTTTGTGTTTTGTAGGGTGAAGTTAAGTGAAGATTCTATCAAGGAATCCCCAACCTCAGGTACCCCATCCAGCTTTACAACTGATAGCAGAGTTGGTGAGGTTTGGGAAGAAAGACTACAACTCAGAAAAGAACACCTTTTCTTTAAAAAAATGTTTAAAGACTTCTTTATTTTTCTGGGAAAGGCACATTCAGAGAGAGAGAGAGAAACGAGAGAGAGAGACAGATGGAGAGAAAGATCTTTCTTCTGCTGGTTCACTTCCCAAGTGGCCACAATGTCCAGAGCTCAGCTGATCCAAAGCCAGGAGTCTCCTCTGGGTCTCACATACAGGTGCAGGGTCCCAAGGCTTTGAGCCATCCTCCACTGTTTTCCCAGGCCACAGGCAGGGAGCTGGATGGGAAGTAGAGCAGTTGGGACATGAACTGGCACCCATATGTGTGCAAGGATTTAGCCACTGAACCATTGCATCCAACTCCCCCCCCTCCAATTTAGAATTCATCTTTTAAAAGGGACTAATGATCAGTTGATTCAAAATGCAAAAGAGTAGATTAATGAATGTGTTGCATTATCAGGGCTTGTGCAATACTTTATTCTGATTGCTGTCTACCAACCTCTCTTCATCTACCACTTAGATTTTTAAACATTTTTATTCATGAATTTACTAGAGAAGTAGACAGAGCTAACGCACATCCCCTGGCTCTCTCCACACTAGCCTACAGCAGCCGTGGCTGGGTGGGGTGAAGCAGGGATCGGGAACTCAATCCCAGTCTCTCGAGAAAAGGTCCCAATCACTTAGAGCATCACCTGCTGCCTCCCGGGGTGTGTGTTAGCATGAAACTGGAAGGGACTTTGTATTCAGGCACTCTGGTGTGGGATGCAAACATCCTAATCGGTGTGTTCACTGCTAGGCCAAACACCTGTCCCATGGATGATAATGATTATTGGAAATTTTTAGTATGAAAGAGAATAAGAAAAGAAAAAGGAGAAAGGATGGAAAGGTAGAATAGGAAATGACGTGCCCTTGCCTGATAACCTGCAGTTGCCTTAAATGCTAAAGTCTTTCTACACTTGTGTTCTCATGCACCTGACACTCTCTGTAGACTTTGCAACAGCCTCTTAGGTCAGAACGTGATGTGGCAGGTCCTTCACCCAGCGACAGGCACAACGGCACATCAGTCACCCCAATCCTCCTGCCCCACGGCCTCTCCTTTTTGCTCCCCACCAAAGTAAATATCTTAAGATTCAAGTTATTCTCTCATCAAGGTCAGTTTCTGCAGGCATCCAACCCAAACAATTTTTTTCCTTCTATTTAATTTTTGATTTTATGGTACAAGTCCATAGGCTCTGGGATTTCCTTACTCCTTCCCCAAATTCCCTCCCCATAACTGATTTCCCCGATATTATTACAATTGTATAGTCCTTCATAAGCAGTCATAAGTCCATCATTCTGCTATTGAAGTGTGTCCTGAAATTGCTGAAACAGACAATGGCAGACAGTCCAGGATCCTAATGTCAATATATATCCAATAGTTTCATTGGGAGTCCGTCTTTGATTTGGAAGTAAAGATGCATACTGCATTATATATTCACATGTGGATGATATCTCTATTACACAGATACTATACATTCCCTTAAATGAGAAACCATGAAAGAAAATCAACAACAGGAAGAAAGACAAAACAAAAGATTTATAGCACCATGGAGTTAAGTAACACGCTATCGAATAACCAGTGTGTCAATGAAGAAATGAAACCAAAAACACAAAAGCTTCTTGGAGAAAATGATGCTACTGTGTGATCTATGACTCAGTGAAGAACTTAATAAAAGAAACTATTTTGAAGAAATGAAAACAAAAGCAATATCAAAACCCAAGCAGTTTGTAACCCGCTAAAGGCGGGGGTCGGAGGGATCGTTGATTGGGCATTGAGGATGCCAGCTTAGTCTTCTCGAATTCCTGGTGTATTATCCCAAGATGATGCTGGCTGTTGCACTAGGCTTCCTGAATCAGGACCGCTAGTGCTCAGGCTTTTGAGTGATTACCTTAGCCCATTTTCTGTTGCTATAAAGAAATATCGCCACTGGGCATTTTATCAGGAATAGAGAGGTTTATTTAGCTCACACTTTTGGAGGCCAGAAGTCTGAGATCAGATGATTTGGGAACTCTTAGCAGAGGCCATCTCGGTGTGGCTGCACCTGCAGAAGAGCTTATATGGCAAGACAGGAAGCCAGAGAGAAGCAGGGGTCAGGCTTACTCCTTCATGACAGCCAGCCATCCTGAGTCCTACCCAGGATCTATGTCACCCTTTCTCAGAATGGCAGTGTCTGAGACGACCTAACCATCTCCCACGCATTCCCACCTGCTGAAGGTGCCACCATTCAACACCACCACACCAGGATGAAGCTTCCAGTCCGTGAACCTCTGGGGGATGAAACATGTGCAGAGCAAGGCCTTGAGCTAACAGATTCCTGAGAAACACAGACTGTAAAATTCCAAAAAGAGAAGAAATAATTATCTCTTAATGGGGCAGGCCTATTGGTGCAGCCAGACAAGCCACTGCCTGGGATGCCCACGTCCCGCGTCAGATTGCTAAGGGTTGAGTCCTACCTCTGCTTTTGCTTTTTAATTTTTTAAATGATTTTATTTTATTGGAAAAGCATATTTGCAGAAAGAAGGGGGGACAGAAAGATTCTCCATCTGCTAGTTCACTCCCCAAATGGCCACAACGGCTGGAGTTGAGTCATTCTGAACCCAGGAGCCAGGAGCTTCTTCCAGGTGTCCCATGCAGGTACAGGGTCCCAAGGCTTTGGGATATCTTCTGTTGGCCTCCTAGGACATAAGCAGGGAGTTAGATTGGAAGTGGAGCAGCGGGGGCATGAACCCACGCCCATTTCGGAGCTTGGTGCTTACAAGTAGAGGATTAGCCAGTTGAACCATGGAACCGGGTCTTGCTTTGCTTTTGATTCAGCTGTTGTTAATGCTTTTCTTAGGAGGCAGTAGATGACGGCCCAGTATTTGGACCCCTGCTACCCACGTGAGAGACCAAGAGGGAGCTGCAGGCTCCTGGCTTGATCTAGCTGTACATGTTGCAGCCATCTGGGGGAATGAAGCAGTAGATAGAAGATCTCCCTCTTTCTTTCTGTGTGTCCCCATTCCCACCCCATCCTGGGTCACTGTGTCTTTAGGATACCAATAAATGAATACATCTTTTTTTTTTTTAATGGGGCATGTTCCAAAACTCTCACTGAGAAGGATACAAGACCCCTTGTGGAATTTCAGTTCCACAGAGAAAACCTCAGATCTACTGAAGCCGAGAGCACTCTTCAAGACATCAAGGCCTCAAAAGACAGGACAAAAGTGGAGGAGCTGTAGCAGCTCGCAGTCAGTCGCTTAGTTGACGATGGAATGGCAGATGGGGCCCTGACCGAGGAGGAGGACACCAGCCAGGACGTGATAACTCCCGTGCAGGGCCGGCTGGTCAGGGTGCAGTTCTGCATTGCTGATAGTGATCTAGCCTTGCTTGCTGCCCTGTGCACAGGACAGATGTTCCTACCGGGGAAGGAAGGGGAGGATGACATTGGAACCCTCTGGCCTATTTTTGCAATTTTTTTTTGTAAGCCTAAGATTATTTTTAAGTGAAAGCTGCCTTCCAGACCATCAGTCACAATCGGACAAAGCTTGCTGGATTATTTCTGGTAAACACACACAAAGGGAGTAAAGGCCAAAGGTGATGCCCAGCCTCCTTCTTTTAATCATGCGTTTCCATGCAGGATCTTCAAGTCCTGTGGAGTTTATTCTTGGCAACGCTGCTTCTAAGGGGATGTTGCTGGTTCATCTGCTGTGCCCTGGCAGAGAAGATGCAGAGTAACATGAAGAACTGCCTGCCAGTTGCAAGTCCAAGGAAAATAAAGCACAGCTTTGCAGGAAAGGAAAGCTCTAGACCTGCCCAAAGTGATGGTTAGTCCACACCAGCACATTACTGCCCTCGAAGGGATGCATGAATCAGAGAAAATATAACAATGTGCACCGAGTGATACCTCTGGGTCTTGTTTTGTTAAATTGGAAGCTTCACAGCCACTGGTAGTAAAAGTCCAAAGCTTTCACGGCTTGCCCTACTCTAGACTCCTCTGGTGTGCATTAACTGTCTTCTTTGTAGCAGGCAAGGATCGACAGGACTTCAAGCGTTCCTTCACGAAGCGTTTGCATTCTCATGGCGCACACCCTGAGCCATTACTATATCGATGCGCCTTTAATCAACGGCAGCCCAAATAGTGGGGGAACATGAGTAGACAGGGATTAGATAAGGCTGTCTAAGTGAGGCTTTGAGGAATAAGCAGACGCAAAGAGCAAAGTTGCAGGGAAGGAGAGAGAGAGAAATTTTTCATCTGCTCATTCACTTTGTAAATGCCTATCGTAGCCCTGGCTGGACCAGGTGGGAGCCAGGAGCCTGGAATTCCATGTTTGTCTCCATATGGGAGTCGGTGGCCTACGCACTTGGGCCGTCCTCTGCTGTGCGTTAGCAGGAAGCAGGATGGGAAACAGAATAACTGGATTTCGAATCGTGCTGTGAAATGGGATGCTGGTTTACCAGCTTGCACTGTGATAATACCAGTCCCTTAATGTGTTAGTTTTAAAAGCATTTATTCTCCCTGCTCTCCTGTAAGATTGATTATATGGCACAGATGAGCTTTCCTGATTTTGATGTTAAAAAATGGCAGATGCTCATCAAAGTAAGTCCTGGTGTTTATCATTAATGAGGTCAGAAAATCAACCCAGTACCTGCTGGCCCAACTTGTATACTCGTGATCTTGGCTTTTTTCCTATAGGGAACTGAAGAGTTTCAGAAATACTTAGCTGAATGCTAGTTGTGTTGGTTTATTAAACCACAGAGAGGGCCCAGTGCGATAGCATAGTGGTTAAGTCCTCGCCTTGTGTGCACCGGAATTCCATATGAGCCCTGGTTCTAATCCTGGTGGCCCCGCTTCCCATCCAGCTCCCTGCTTGTGGCCTGGGAAAACAGTCGAGGACGGCCCAAAGCCTTGGGACCCTGCACCCGCGTGGGAGACCTGGAGGAGCTCCTGGCTTTGGATTGGCTCAGCTCCAGCTGTTGCGGTCACTTGGGGTGTGAACCATCGGACGGAAGATCTTCCTCTCTGTCTCTCCTCTCTGTATATTTATCTTGCCAATCAAAATAAATAAATCGGGCCCGGCGCGGTGGCGCAAGTGGTTAAAGGTCCTCGCCTTGCACGCCCGGGATCCCATATGGGCGCCGGTTCTAATCCCGGCAGCCCCGCTTCCCTTCCAGCTCCCTGCTTGTGGCCCGGGAAAGCAGTCGAGGACGGCCCAAAGCTTTGGGAACCTGCACCTGCGTGGGAGACCCAGAAGAGGCTCCTGGCTTCGGATCGGCATAGCATCGGCCCGTTGCGCTCACTTGGGGAGTGAATCTTCTTCTCTGTCTCTCCTCTCTGTATATCCGCCTTTCCAATAAAAAAAAATAAATAAATAAAAATAAATCTTTTTAAAAAATAAATCAATCTTTTATAAAAATTAAAAATAAACCAAGAACTTGTGCCCCAAGGGAAGACGTGGGCTCTGGGCGGTTCTGCTTCTACCTCTGATCCCTTTGCCTAGGATTTCAGAAGGAATCTTCTCTCTCTCTCTCTTTCCCTCAAGACATTTATTGATTTGAAAATCACAGTTACACACAGAGAGCGGGGAGGAACAGGTGTGCACTGGCAGAAAGTCGGAGTCAGGAGCCACGCTCAGGATGGCCCAGACACGCTGCTGTGGAAGGAATACGGATGTCTTAATCACCAGGCTACACACCTGCTCCCCTGATGTCAAATGTTCATATCACTCAAATAATATTTAATGTTCGCATATATTTTTATATATTATGATGATGTCAGATCTTTAAAAAGAAACCCTTGAACCTTTCTGGCTGGGGAGACTGCCCCTCTCTTGGCTGGCCTTGTCTCAGATACAGCAAAATCCCACCCCCAGGAGCATATATTTGACAGACAACACAAACCAACCGGAGCCTAACTCCTGGTTCTGGTCCATACACCCCAGGATCTAAACTTCTCCTCCCTTCGTCATTAGAGAGCCCAGTGCCAGGTAACTAGAGTCTGCTGCCATAGCCTAGAGCCCATGGGCATTACTTAAACCAGTCAATTCTAACCTTTCACCCTGGCCTGCCTTGCCTTTCCCATGGAAACACCAACAAACCAGTGGCCTGCACCTGACCTAACTTTTGTCTTCTGCCTGCTGACCACCTGGGGTCTTTCCCGTGTGGCCCTGTGTGGTGAGCCCTGCCTCTTGCCGCCACGACCTGGGAATGTAGTCAACTCCTTGTTTCATCCAGTGGTTGCATCTGCCTGACTGTCTTAGAACCTAATGTAAAGGTCATCTACCAAAACTTCCACCCTCACTGTCAAAACTTATAATGCACACTGTGCTTTACGACTCTTCATAATGAAAAATTCTTTTGCTGTTACATAATCCATTTCTCACTGAAATCACCAAGGCAAGTTTTTGTTTTTCCCATTTTACCCAGGAGGAAATCAAAGAAACATTGGATGACTTGAGCTGAGCTAATTGTTGGCCACCTCGGGGCTGGAGCCCACGCCTTCACACTCCGGATCACTGAC